CACCATTATACATGATCATGTACTGATCCCAAAACACTGTTACCCATATGATCATGAGGGGCATTTAGTAAACCATATCCAACTCTGCCACATGGCCAACTCGATAGTCTTGCACTCAGGGCATGCCTATGATGTACACCATGGGATGGGGACGATAGAAGGTAGCAGCAGCCTACACACAAGGAGGCATAATCAGAGGAGCTACCCAACATTTCCTATACTACCGGAGCTGTACCAAGTACCACTACTAGCCCTGCACTAAGGTTCCTACAGGATGGCATGCAGGCTACCCCCATGGCTGCTGCTAGGTTATCCGCAACAGCATAGATCTTAGCACAGGGGAATAGGACCGAAAATGCACTCTTGAAGTTAAACCTGATAGGAAAATATCAGAAAGAAGGTTATCATGAGCAGGAAGAATACCCCCTGAAGAGAGGCGATAGACTGGGCATGTTTTTAACAGTACACATATCCTCCTTATCTAGATCCGTTGTTAATTCGACTGTACCAGGAACCTAAGGACACATACCTTGTGAGCTTGGCATGATGATGCTGATGATATCACTACCGAGAATACGACTCTATCGACTTGATGCATGGCCACTGGCAACTGTTTCTGCCATACATATGGACTAGGTGGCATGCCTGGTTCCTGCTTCTCCTCCTCCTCAGGACCATCAGTTGAGTCCACATCCTCATCGTGTGTTGAACCAAGCTAAAGCCATAGAGTCCAAGTAGATAGACTGGAGTATACCAACCAAATGAGAGGCCAATCTCTTCCTTAAACTTTCAAGTCTATTGGGCTTGTCCCAAAGAGCAGCACTCTCAGCCGCAGGTAGGAGCACTCTTTTATTACCTATCATATACTGTACCACAGATAGGATGACGATCGCTACTACCATGCTGATACATGAACTTGGTCCGAGTCCCACCAATATCAATACAAAGGATACGTAGGCTTTCAAACAATCGACGCTTTAAAGGCGGAACTGAAGACACTACCATAACAATAACCACCGCACACCTCAGCTGGACAACCCATAAGTTACCGGTATCAACGTCTTGCGCAGTAGCAGCAGCAGAGCTGGAACCATGGACATCGTATGACTTCTGTCTACTGCTGCTACTGGAAGATGACCCTACTCTGTGGGTAGCCGACTCAAGCGCTTTATGGAGGGTCTCGGAGGGCTAAGGAGAGGTGGTTACAATAGCGAGGCCTAGCATAAGCCTACATCATGATTCATAACAGGCAGGGTCTCTCCCCGATTATACCGACGTGCCGCTGCCTCTACTCTAGCCTGTGGACTACATCCCTAAGGTCAGCCTATGTTAACCCCTCCTTAGTATACAACATACTACCTCTTCTTCCGAGATGTCCTCGGCGCTAGACTCAGCACGCGATTCTTCAGGAGCAGATACACCACCACCGGCAATCTTCGTACCAGCAAACGTCACACAACCTATTAAAGCACGTACCACACCTTACCGAAATCTACCGTGACAATAGCCACCAATGGAGTACTGCAATAGAACTGATATTACGTTTGCTTCTTTTGAATTCATGCAATGCCAGAGTAGCTGCCGGCTTGAGCTTCCTCCCATTCTGTCCATTGTGGCCACCTTTAGGGGTTCCAGCAGCAGTAGCAGCAGCAGTAGGACTATTCTGGTTAGTCCTCTGTGAGCTGGCAACAGCCAATCCCATCACATCGCGGTCGGCTAGGACCTATGCATAGTATCGATAGAGGTAATAGGAGCAAGCTTACTTCAGTTAGAGCACGATCTATACGTTCGATGAGAACTCTCAGCTCCGACATAGAACGGCATGATGCTGCTACTATCCTGAGGGCAATAGGGGGTACTACAGTAGGTATATGAGGTTAGTACCGTAAGAGCAATTTCCATTCCGTTACCAATAGGGATGCCACTCGGGCTACTACCAGCCGCAAGCGATGTATCTTATGACCCTTCATACGGGGTACAAACAATATCATAGCAGCACCACAGGCTGCACAAAACAATCCACATATTAGAGCTAATCTAGCTGTACGTGATGGAGAGGAGTATAGGTAAGATATTAGGGCAGGGTGTTGGGGAGAAGGAGGTGGTGGTGGAGGGCCGACTGATATCGACATGTCCGTTGCAAGAAGAGGAGGACCAAGTGTGATAAAGGTTGATAAAATTAGAGGGAATGCGGTAATAAGCCACAACTAAAACACTTACGGTACATTGCTGCAATAACGACACTGATCTTTGGACAACAAGTCTGTACATGATTCACTCACCACAATACACTGAGTAGCCGAAACACGTTCAATGATGATAGGAGATAATGCCGCAGTAGAGATAGATAACGACGACAGCCACAACATCCACCGAGAACAAGAATGTCTTCTAAAAACGGTGAAGACGATTTACGATGAAGAATAGCCTCAATGCCTCTTGGTGTCGAGACCAGTTTTACTGTTGTTAACGTTCTCGATAAACTTATCCTTACCTGAGGTGATATGATCCTACCTCCTACTACCTAAGGACGCAGCTTACTAGTCTCAAAATCAGTCATTCTTGAAAAGAGTTCTTGTTGATTAGCCAAACCTTGTTGCGTCTCTGCATCGATCGCCACTATGGACCCATCAACCATCATATTGGTCATACCATCTACACAGAAGGCGTCTATAGGGAGAAGCAGTAATAGTATATCAACCTCATTACCATCAGTCATGAGCTCCTCATACTCAGGGGCCTTCTCCTTCACCTCTGAGCTGATCTCCTCGTTCATTGACATAATCAATGTATCGAAATCAATACATTCCTTCCTATACTTGCGTTCTACATCCAGTATCCTAGGCATAACCTCGGCCTCTGAGAGCTCCTTCTTGTTCGCCAATCTATCCTTCAACTCGGCAACATACTCCTCATATACAGGTCTATGAGGGTCATCAGCCTATTCGTATTGTATGAGGGCATCGACAGCAACCAAGAGCTTTCTTACCTTGAGCCTTCTTAGGAAAGCATCGGCCTGTCTCTCACCCTTTACTTGGAACCAACGACCCTCTAAACCAGGCTTCCTTGACTCCAGAGTACGATAGAAAATACTTAGAACTTGGTTATACCCGGGATTGAACCTCCGACCTACATCAGGAATGAACTAACCTTAACAAGGCCACTGTCTACCAGTGAGCTTCATGTAGTCCATATACGTGTTGAAGGCATCAAGAGGGCAAACTTCCTCATCAACTACCTCGCCGCCAGCAGGGATGTAGAAGAGACAGTTAACATCATCACCAAGAGAGTAGAACCTATAACATTATCATGAATACCCTCCCCACAATCACATGATACTACCACATACTTCCCATTAGGATGTTCCTGTACAACACGTAGAAGGGCTGACTGGGTCTGGATGGGTATGGCAGCATCATTGAGGAATATGAAGTTACCTACACACATTGGACACTACACTCCGATACGCTTGACTACCCATGAGGCGTGCCGCAGAGAGCTCTACCATACTGCTCTCCCTTGATAGTAAACGCTCATAGAATCTGATAGAGGCAAGTGCCCTACACCAAGTGTTATGAGTGTTGATAATACTGCTCGCCCTCCGCATCCATGTGCGCAGGTGCTAGGTCCAAGTGGGCCTCTCTACTCAATGAGGACTCTTGTAAGGCCCTTCTACGTCGCTGCAATATCGAATACATCTCGAATCTAGCATGCATCGATAGAGAGAACAACTGTGGTAAGTTACAACTACCTATTGTTGTAGATTTCAGCAAACCATTGATGAGGCATAAGCTCAGGGAAGGTACGCGCATCCCCTCCCACCTTGGTGAGATAGAATATCATATGTTCAACCAATGGTCCTCTATATAGATCATAGTACTGAGTACCAATACACCATGAAGAATAAGTGACCGATAGTAGTACTAACCTCAAAGCTAGGTCTCTGGTATAGATACTTGTTGTTATGGTTAGTAACTCCACGATCATCCCAGGTCTACAGGAGCCCTTTATCCGACAACGACACGAATGTTTGCTATATTACATGCCACTGCTTCATAGTAGTCTCCTCTATACCCTTGATGTACTCAGCACTCTCTGGGTCTTCAGCCAAGGCATTAAGGTAGTTGGCATGGTACATGTGCTTCTCCACAAAGGCTTGCCAGTATCTAGAGTACCATTACTCAGTGTTCCGTTCCTGAGAATGATATTACTGATCAGCATCCAACCATTCAGAGGTAGTAGCATGAGAGATAGGAGGATTGTTAAAACTGATATACAGTGCTCTGGCACCGTTCTTGACAATCTGTTCTGATGTCTTAACACTATCCTCACAAGACACCACAGCCTCATCGAATACTTCCCAAGTGCCACCTGCCATACCACTCCATCAGGAAATCATACCGAATGACTGCTGCTCACAAACATCCTTGACTGCCTTCCTATGATCCTCCTGAGCGAAATCATCCAGCATCTGCATGTTTTGGGTATAGAATGCTCTTAGAGCCGACACCAACTCCGTGTGAGTAATCTATCAACACAACTATCCACAGCAGTAACCATCGAACAGCAAGCCCAACCTCCTTCTCCCAACGTTTCCAATCAATTGGCTGTGGCTCAGTAGTACCATATTTTGTGATGGTGTTCAGTGCTACTGTATCACGAGCCTATAGCACATGGCACTGG